TACTCGCTTGTGGAACTCTTTCACTTTCTTGCTTCAGTCAAAAATTTAAATGCAATGTCAATCGTTATCTTCAGTCTTAACTCTTCTTCTTTTATTGTTCTCTCCTTAATAGTATTTTCTCATACTGAGAACCGCCCCACTTGCGTCTTAGTGGCTTTACTGTCTTCCTTGGGGTGAAATGATATACACACACAAAAACCCACCCACCCCTCCAACATAATGGTAAGCCATGAGTGTTAATGGTGTCTTCATCTCGCTAATGTCTAACCATTATATAGGAGGTATTTCTGCCGCACCCTGTATTTTAGAGCGTACTTTAGTTAAAAATTTGAAAATATAACGATATTTTTCTCCACACTAACTATGTGTATAAATACAAGTTACCAACTAAAATTTCCGCAAAGGACGAAACGTGCTGGTATAAAAATTCTATAATACAAAGCATGAACAATTCGCTGATCTTTCTTTGTCTTGGAATGTCCTATTATTTTAAACTAAACAACTAAAACGCCATAATTTGTCTTAAATTATTTTTTAGTATTCCCAGATTAATTTTAGCTCGCAGTTAAATGGATGGTAATGGTTAATGGCGTAATTACATTGTACTAATAAAATATGAATAACTTAAACATTACCATCATTTTTAATGACACAAGTAAATACTACCTCTGTCCCATTATAGCTGCGTTGTATTTCAGACACTAAATGTAACCACTACTATGGGACAGTAGTTGATAAAAACAAAATGGAAGCTGTGATTTAACTTCTGAAAACATAAAAAAAAAGAAATCCGATTTCCGAATTACTCATCTTCAGGGAGTCAATGAGGCTCATTCTGAAACAAATTAAACTCTCATCAGGAAATTTAATCAAGTTTTGATTGACGAAGCCCTCTCCCTTTTTAGCCGGAAATTTCCTGAAAACGCGAGGGTTTAGGTGTGGCCATTCTCCTACAAACTGACAGGGATCAGCGGTCATGTCTTTGATCGGCAACAATTTCCTCAATATGTAGTTTCTTTTTCCATTATTTTTTTTCCATCGGAAATACTACCCCCCACCCCACCCTTTTCTCTCATTCCTTCCGATGATCAAAATTAACTTGAGAAATACAAACAAGTTTAACGGGCAAATGACGAAGACATTCTAAAAACCGCCTTGTTGATATTTAATAAACTTAGTTTGGCATAAAGCCAAATAGTGCTTGTAGATTTGGAATGAGTAGACAGTTGTGCTTTTCTTCTGGGCAGAAGAGAGCCCATCTTGAAAAATAGCATGAGAATTTTTTTTTTTTTTTTTTTTTTTTTTTTTTGACCCGAACTCTCAAACAACCAGCGGTTACGGTAGGGTATACACGACTATCTAGGATACAAGGCAGACAAAAGAGGAGTCCTATTTGTAATCGTTTCGATTTGATGGTATCGCCCTTCTCCTGCTACATCTCTCGTCTATGTGAAACAAAAATTTAGCGCTTCAAAATACTCGACCTTTCTAAAAACGTCGGGAGCGACTGAAGCTATTATTTATTGAAAAATAAATAAATAAAAATAAGCAGTGTATACGATTATTACACACCAGAGAGTACTAGATAAACCATAACTTTAAAAAAAACTCCACTTATTTATGCAAGGCTGAAACATTTGTTACGCTAATGTAAAATTGTTGATGAACGGATGAAAAGAAAAATAAAATAAAATAAAATTCACACGTGTCTAGTAAGGACAGGCAATTTAAAAAAATTTTCTCACGGGATGAGGAACGACAGCATTAAGTTGCAAAGGAGGACAGGTGAACAAAAGAAATCACCCACACCTGATGAGGTAAGGAAATGAAATGAACACATATTTAACAAGGAACAATACATCGCCTCCCGCCAATCGTTACTGTTGGAAATATTTTTCTATTGAGCTCCTCCAGATTTTTTTTTTTTTTATTTTATTTGGGAGTACCACGTTACCCCATCAAAAAAATCGCTGTTTCTTTTATTCTTTTATTTATTTTGGGATTTGGAAGACGGGTGTCTTGGTTTTTTTTTTTTTTCTTCATCTTCGCCCTCCTTTTTCTTTCTTTTTTTTCTTAGCTCTCCTTTTTTTTTTTTCTTAGCTCTCCTTTTTTTTTTTCTTAGCTCTTTTTTTTTTTTTTTTAGCTCTCCTTTTTTTTTTTTTTTTTTTCTTCGCTCTCCTTTTTTTTCTTTAAGTTCAGCAGTGAAAAATAATAGGTTCAACATCAAAACTACATGATGATGAACATGATTTGTATATAAAATGCTGACGTCAGCAGATCTACGTAGAACAAAATAGAAATAACCTATGTTCATAATATTTTATAGTCTTACACGGACGGATGTCCGAGGTTGTCAAAATCTTGTATTTTTATTATTTAACGAGATAACAGAATGCCAACAAATCCTAATATACCCATCATAACACCTAGGTATAACAGACACATGCTTCACAGCCAAATATGGGCCCAAAATCTTTAAGTAACTTTAGATCGGGTAATCCAGATGGTCTCCAATTGAGTCTTCGCAAGTGTCTAGCGCTAATATCCTAAGTAATTTTGGTTGCTTCATTCTTCATCTTTCAAACATAAAAACCACCCTCTCGATACCCGGCCATGATGCCTCCCACTACCCCGTCTCATGAACAGAAATGTGTCAGACTCCAGGTAACATACCCGTTTGGTTATAATCAGCAAACAAATCCGTCGTACTGAACGGGATATTTACTATAGTCCATTTTAATTAACCAATAAAAAAAACATGTACATATTGTTTTCTATTTTATAGGCCATGGAATTAATCTGGAGAGGCCGTGATTTTCTGATTATGGTGGCTTTGAGCTTTTTCTTTTTTAATTAGGCAGTAGTTAGCTTTGTGGAACATGAATTGGCAGTGTCGTAGACGAATATAATCTTTCAGCTGAAACCTTTTGTGTTCTGTACCAATTTTTAAAAAATAAGTATTTATAAAAAGTTATAATTATATAGCATACCTTACAATTATATTTTTATCATAATAAATATATATGAGAGAGAGTGTATATGCTTATATAATAATGAGTCCTTAGCTTATTTTTACAAAAATAAATTTATAATACATACGGTATCTAATGAAGTTAACGTGCTCTTAATATTTTTTTCCCGCTACTGGCAGTTTCATGTTCACGTTACTCAGGGGGTGTTGAGGAACAAAGAATTAGATTAAGAGAATGGATAGAATATAAGCTAGTGAAAATTTGTAAGCGTTTCTTATACCCCGCTCTTTTTTTACTTTTCATCTACATCCTGGCACCCAACAAATTATGAACTACTATTCGCAATATACCACATATGGTAATCCTGTACCCGTGAGCAGAAATCACGTTGCATTCCACTTTTTCTCGCTCTCCTTGTATATTCTACCCACTCTGTTAACCTGCAGTTCTGTTCCTCACTATTCCATGGTGATTGAAGTTACACATGAAACTGCCAGTAGCGGTAAAATATTAGGAGGATGCGTAAAGTTCAGTATTCTTTATATTTCTTTATTTTTGCTCAATATTTGTACATTACATTGAGCAACGTTCTTTTTATGGTGTTGGCGCTCTCTGTGTATGTGTGTGTAAAATATATATATATAGTCCAACTTCGATTCTCGAACGTCTTGCATGTCGAACAAATCGATTTTTGAACAAAAAATTAGAGATGAAAATGCCTCGGTTCTCGAACAACATTGCCGAGACGAGTTAACCCGAACGGAAACATTTCTTAGTCGACCGCTGTGTTGTATAAATTCGTGTGTTGTGCTTTTCTTTTCTAATTTTATAGTATTGTCTTTATTTTTCTCTTCATTGGTCCTAAGTCATGGCCCCAAAGAAAGCTAGCAGTGATACTGGTAAAGGAAAAAGACGAGAGAAAAAAAGTTGATGACATTGTCTCTTCCTACTCAGTTTCAAATGGCAAAATCAATGTTATATACTATTCTTATAAATAAAGAGACGATCAAGTCTTCCCTCCCCCTTTCCAAACAATAACATCTCTTTCTTTCCCCTTCTACTTACCCCATCAACTCTCCTACATGTAAAATTGAAGTGGTCGTCTGTATTTTATGTTTAGTTTTTTTTTTTTTTTTTTTCTTAGATTTAATGATTTTCATTAGTTTTGTGTATAAACTTGCGCACAAAGTACAGTTGTTAACGTTTAAATATGCAATCATCTTGGGCCAGGAACGGATTAATCCATTTTACACTGATTCCTGTTGGAAAAATAGTTTCGATTTACGAACATTTCGGGTTACGAACGGGCTTCCACTAAAATATATATAATATATATATCCATCCGCTTGTCGCACCCAACTAAATAGATTATGAATATCTCCAATGAAAACATATCAGCTGAAATCTACGTTGTATTTATCATATAAATATATGGGTAATTGAATGACAAAATGTAGGAAAAAATCTTCTGTAACGCATTTAATCTTTCAAGACTTCAGTCTAAATGGTTTTTATTGATGGAATCGTATATATAGGGGAGGAAATAAAATATATAAACAAATGCGGGTTATAATTAAACATTGAGAGGAAACAGAGGTTTGTTTACATTTTCGTCCCCCCCCCCACTAATACCGTATTCATCAGCATAGATATTCACAAATGATTGGAGTATAATCTTCGACAGATAATTTGTGATAAGTAGAAAGAAGATTAGACCGAGAAGCGAACCTTAGTGGATTCATGCGTTGATCGCTTAGACCTTAGAGGGCTGTCCGTTAACAACTACATTCAGGGTCCCTACCCGTTAGGAAGGGCTTTGTAATTGTGAAAATGACTGAAGCACCTTCAACAAAAAAAAAAATGACCTTGAATCTTTTTAGTAGTGCTACCCGCCTTATGATGAGCCATATCTTACGTGGCCCACTGGTCAGAAAAGTATGGACAATTTATCCATCTCAATGAGGTTCTTGTACAATAACTAAGCAGTTCTAATACGAACAAGGTGAGATATCTCTAGACATGGTCGGCTTTCGGCCATACCACGTTGAAACACTGGTTCACTTACGATCAACTAAGTTAAGCAACGTAGTCTGATCAGAACTTAGATGGGTGATCGCTTGGGAATACAAGATGCTGTAAGTTTGGATGTGCAGGTGGTGTAATGGATAATGGTTCAGAAATGAAAAATAATCCACTAATTTCAGTTTTATCTATCTATCTATCTATATCTATCTATCTATCTATCTATATCTATCTATCTCTCTATCTATATCTATCTATCTCTCTATCTATATCTATCTATCTCTCTATCTATATCTATCTATCTCTCTATCTATATCTATCTCCCATCTATCTCTATCTATATCTATCTATCATCCCATCTATATCCATCTATCCCCATCTATCTATATCTATCTATCTCATCTATCTATATCCATCTATCTCCATCTATATCTATCTATCTCTCTCCATCTATATCCCCATCTATCCCCATCCATCCCCATCCTATCTATCCCCATCCATCCATCCATCTATCCCCATCCCATATCCCATCCCCATCCATCCATCCCCATCCATCCATCCCCATCCCCATCCATCCATCCCCATCCATCCATCCCATCCATCCCCATCCATCCATCCCCATATATATCCATCCATCTCCATCCATCCCCATCCATCCCCCCATCCATCCCCATCCATCCCCATCTCCATCATCCATCCATCCCCATCCCCATCCATCCCCCATCCCCCATCCCCATCATCCATCCATCCCATCCATCCATCCCCATCCATCCATCCCCATCCATCCCCATCCATCCATCCATCCCCATCTATCTATCCCCATCTATCCCCATCCATCCATCTATCCCCCATCCATCCATCCCCCATCCATCTATCTATCCCCATATCCATCCATCCCATCCCATCTATCCATCTATCTCCCCATCTATCCATATCTCCATCTATCTATCTCTATCTATCTATCTATCTCCCCATCTATCTATCTCTCCATCTATCTCTATCTATCTCATCTATCTATATCTCATCTATCTCTATCTATCTATATCTCTATCTATATCTCTATCTCTCTATCTATCTATCTCTATCTCTCTATCTATCTATCTCTATCTCTCTATCTCTATCTCTCTATCTATCTCGAGATATATATTACTTCAGTTATGATAGTTACCCAAAGGCAAGCTTGTTCATATTCTAACCGGAGAGCTGAGTTTCAATTCTAGTCGGGTTCGTTATATTCACTTACGTTCAAATACCCTTTGGAAAAAAAATTGAATCCCCCCCCTTTCAGCTATGTATTAATTACTAGAACTTGTATCATCAAAAATTATTATCTCCAAAAACTTCTTAAAATTTCAAAATATTTTCTGGCTTTAAATAACCTGCAAATGTTGATAAGCCGTAAAAAAATCGACCAACTCTAGACCTGCTCAGCAGAATGAGAACAATATATCCATTTTATATTAAATAAAGAGTTTAGTTCGAAATGCCCTGGAGGTTACCCGGAACGACAGACACCAGACAGACGGGCGAAACATTGGGATAATAACAAAGATGATATTATTCCAAATGTAAATAAGAATAAAATTCCTTTAATTCTCGCTGAAGGAACAAAATTTCATCATCTGTTCCTTGACTGCTTCAATAGTCGAGGGGGAACAGAACAGAAGAAACCGACAACCTCCTCCAGGGGGATCTGTTGGCGGTGGCTCTCAGGAGTTCCGGCATTATCATGTTCGTCCACTCTTTGATATCTGACCAGCTTTTGCGTTGCCATCCCCGTTTGCGTCTGCCTACAACGGTGCCTTACATGATGGTCTTGCAGAGGCTGTTGTGACGTGGCCGAACTATGGCATCTTCCGACGCTTAATAGTGGCGGGAAGAGATTCCTATCGGCCGAAGAGACTTTTGGCCTTGCTCCGTACATTGTGCTCCCAGTAGGAGACGAGGAGGAGCAAATTTAGAATATTTTATTTCTCACGACCGGGCGAAATGGAAAATCAAACGCATTGATATTTTGTAAAATAATTGTATTTAAAGCTCAGTTTAGTCTGGCACAACGTTAAATGGGAGGGTAAGATAATAGTTTAGTCATCTTTGCATCAGGTTCGACCGGCTTAAAAATAATGCTGCATTTCTAATAGGTGAATGCTCTCTCCGGCTTGCTTATGACTCTGCACCTAGAAGCTCTCTTAATTCGCAGGCAGGGCAAGAATAATGAAGTACTTTAAGTTGGTGCACAGTTACCAGGGGCGTGTCACCAGTATATAACTGTCAACCGGAGACTTAAGCACACTTAGATGGTAAATGGTTGAAGTCCTATTTCTGTGAAGTTCGACTGAGTTGTCGAATTGTCTAGCTGTACTGTGTGAAATGGAAAAAAAAAACGGAAGGTGAGAGCCGGATTAAAATGTCGCGTGATGGGTGATTATAGAGAAACAAAAACAAAACGGGTATTAAAATTGCAAATCACCTCAGGGAGTGGCTATTTAATTTCAGTTTCCTTTCTCTCGCTCCCCGAACTTCCGCCCATAGCTCCATTTACTTCCTACCCTTTCTTCTTTGTCTTTTTTTTTTCCTCTCAAAATCCTCACTTCAGTTTTTTTTTCTATACTTACCCTAAAGACTTTTTCTTTTTTTTTAATTTAACTGCTTCCTTCATCCTAATATCTTTCCATTTTTTTTCTTAAGAGTTTTCCTAATATTTGTTTCTCACTGCGTCCAATGGATTCTTTTTGTTCATTCGCGCTTTGTTGTTTTCTTCGTTTTGCTTCGTTCTTAAAGAGTTTATTCTTTGAATTCGTTTTATTTTATATACAGGGTGGCCCCCAAAAATGTTAACTTTTTAACAATCCAATAAAACCAAGAGTGATGGAAGAAAAATATTTTATTCATAGTAATTGAACATATGCCATTTAAGAAACAATGATGGCATTTTCATTTTTTAAAAATTACGTCCTGTAGATGACGTCCTCCTGTACGGATGCATTCTTGAAATCTGCTGTTGAGATTCCTCATTGACTGCTGCAACATCTCAGCTGGGATACTGTGAATTTCATCTTGAATTCTAAATGGCGAATTGTTTACTTGCTCAAGGTCACTGTCTCGCAGTGTTGCCACTTGCTTATGTCTGACAATACGCACTTCAAAAATTCCCGTTTTTGGGGGTCACCCTGCATTTAGTAAATATAATTTCTAAAGCCAGACAGGAAGAAATAATAGTACACAATTGTTCTCCACGAATCTTCTAATTGAGGACAGTTGTACCTGTTTTGAAAACTTAAATTTTAATGATATCCTGGGTTTGAAAATTCTCGATGGAAGCAAATAGGCAATTATTCCAGCCATCATAGACGGCTTCGCTGTCTTTAAGACCATTTTTCTCTGTCTGTCTCTCTGTCTCTGTCTGTCTGTCTGTCTCTGTCTCTGTCTGTCTCTGTCTGTCTCTCTGTCTGTCTCTGTCTCTGTCTCTGTCTGTCTCTTTGTCTCTTTGTCTGTCCGTCTTTGTTTGTCTCTTTGTCTGTCCGTCTTTGTTTGTCTCTTTGTCTGTCTTTGTCTCTTTGTCTGTCTTTGTCTGTCTCTCTCTCTCTCTGTCTCTCGTGTTTTTCACTTGTGATTTCAAGTTCCTTATAATTTTCGCTTAGTTTCGTTTTTCTTTTGTTTTCCTTTCTTTTTAAATTTTCAAATGAATTTTTTCTCCTTCTCCCACGCAAATACGCAGTTCGTTCATTATCACAAAGCCATTCCCGTTGTCCGCCTTTTGTTTTTCTTTTCTTCTACAATGTTTGAATAAGCACATAACAATAAATTTCAAACTGCGTTCTCAACTTCTTAAATTTTTTTTCTGGCGGGAAAGTAAAACAAGATGAATGTTTAAAGTTCAAGGAATTTGAAATAAAGGTTGTCGGTAAGAATTAAATTTGTTCCTGCGTAGAAGCTTTTAAAAAACAAAAGGGACTTGAATTTATATTAGCGAATGATATGTAATGCTATAAGGATTAATACAAATACAATTTCTCACTTAGTTGATGTTATATTCAGCAATTCGACTCTGGAGTTTCGTACACGAACCTTTTCGTAATCGTTTTGTCCATTCATTGTAATATTTGTATTATTGTAAACATTATTTTTAGTTTGTGCACGTGTTTGAGTTCATATTTTTTTTCTTAAATTGATTTCAAACAATGAAGTCAATATCAACTCGCCTAGATAGCGAAATCCTACTAAAGAAAAAATTAACTCCCGGCAGAAATCGAACCAGTATTATTTTTCTATCAGGTAAATCATTCCTATACGTCGAAGCATACCGTTACCAATTTTAACACTTAAAAATACCAATACAAAGAGAAATCTTAATGTACAATTTCTGTTCAAACGACCAAATTAGTATCAATTCTGCATTCAACTTTTTAACAATGCACTGATATTCTCGGATTCGTGTCATCATTTTTGTTCTTATAGCCACAACGTTTCGGCTGTTATAACTTCCAGCCTTCTTCAGATGTCTGTCATAGTTTGGAACCTACCAAAAATTTTGAACTGAACTCTTCACTTTCCTCTTTCTGCTGTCCATGTTATTTAATATTATCAAATTAATTCCACCTTGTAAAGTTGCTTGTCTCGCCCACTGAACCAAAATTTGAGTTTTTGCACTACGGATTGAACTTACAACAGCTAGGTCGCTTAACTCATCCCTTTACCCAGAAAGCCGTGTTCCCTGTAGGACAATTCAGTAGGGGTGGACAACTTGAATCATTAAACCTAATATCGTAACAGTTCAAAAGCGTCTCCGTGTCGTTGTTGGAGAAGAATTATTTTCCACCCTCCAACCTCACACACACACACACACACACACACACACATATGGGGTGTGGCGAGTCTCTCACTGTTCTATCGCTACTACCACGAAAAGTGCTCTGATGAACTGCATCTCCTGGTTCCACCAAGACTGACCTTCACGGCTAGGACCCACCATACCACTGACATAGCAAGCCACCTACTTTCCCTCCGTATTCCATCGGCGAGATGTTCCACTCGAACAGCTTCCTCACACGAACCACTGCCCCGTGGAACAGACTCCCAAGAGGATGTTTCTCTGATCACTGCAATCTTAACATGTTCAAGTCTAGAGTCAACCGTTATCTTTCCCTATTAACTACCTTTAACGTAACCCTAGAATATCTCTCGGGCCTTTTACAGGGTGAAACTCACTGTAAAAAAAAAAAAAAAAAAATAGGGAAGCTAATCCACGTATATCTGTGTATAAGAATTCCTCGTATAAAAAAAGCAAAATAAAATAATTTGTTAATATTGAGAACACCACACACACGCGCTTTACTTTAAACGTTATTTTTAGTGGATACCTATATTTGACTAGACGCCCCGTTTATTTTAAACAATATTTTATTTCGTCTATCTGCCTAAATATTCGATAAATGTTAAAATATACTTGCTTAACCATGACTTACTTCGTAGCCGAGTAGATTAAATCACGTTGAATTTAACGATGGTTCTTTCTGGAAAGGCGGACGTATGTTCTTATCGGAGGGCGCAGTTTTCTTTAAAAAATTTCTCGAATATTTAGACTGGTAGACGAAATAAAATGGTGTTTATAATGCGCTTACTCATATTTGTATCCACTAAAATAACATTTTAAAGTGATGAACTGTCTGATTAATAATTAAAAATGTATTTTCTATCTATCGCCTCTTGTTCGCATCTATCGCCATCGATGAAATGTGCTGTACAAAGCTGTGTCTCAATGGGGATAGGTAGGTGAAAAATCTATTGAAAGTGCACTAATTTTTGAATCTTTCACAGTAAGCATATGTCAAGGATCATACAACATATGTCCTTTCCTAATAAAACTACTATTACAATATAGAAACAATAGCGGTAAAAATAAAAACGAAATCGGTTGTCATCTGTCTAGATATATCGGACGCAGAAAACTAAAGTAATTAATGCTAAACTTCACTATCTTCACCGTTTGTCGATGTAAAGTTGTAATCGACGTTTTTTTTTATTTTATTTCTGCCCTCTCTATATATATATATATATATATATATATATATATATATATATAATATTGTGTATGCATGCGAGAGACACACTGACTCCATCGATAAAACAATTGTTTGAACGAAACGTGTTACTCGGCTTTCTTTTTATTTTATCATTCAAATTGTTATATATATATATGTGTGTGTGTGTATTTTGTTTCTTCAAAGGTTATTTTTAGTGGATACCCGTATTTAAGTAGACGCTCCGTTTTATTTCAATAATTTAGTAAGGACAATGTGTCCTCCGACAGGATTTGAACTTGCGTCCTCCTTTGCAGAAGAAATTACCATATATGTATATCAGTACATTTCTCCTTATTCACCCATATTTGTTTGCACATTTTAAAAAAAATGCCCCCATTTCCCTGGTGATAGACTTGCCATTATTTTCGGTTTTCTTTTTCTCCTTTCTCCTAATGAATATTTTCCCCTGTGTATATTTCTCTGTTTATTTCCTCTACTACTTTAGATATACTTAAAACGTTTTTCCTGAATATGCCCAGCTGAAATGGCGGGGTGGCTATCTATTATACGCTACATTGAAAAGTGTATTATTTTTACTTAAGCTCATAAAATGTTTTTATTGAAAATAACAAGGAAACTTAAGAATTTCTTGGAAATCATAATTAAAACCTCTTTCTACTTTAATCATGCTAAGCTTAGCTGATTATGGCATAAGGTAGCATACTTATTTAATAAATAGCATACTTATTTAATAAACTCAATGGAAATCGAACTCATTGCTATAGTCATGGCCCGGGATGATATTTTGGTAACCAGCACTGCATGTCGAAACACCCATTTATTTAACTAAGCTTAGTTTAATTTACACTATTTACATTCTGACTATTGTCCTCATTTTTATTACGTTTCGGTCGTTGTGTCCTCCGGGCTTCATTGGCTGTATATCGATCTGTGTGATCTACAGGGAATTCCGAACTGAATTTCGTTTCCAATTCACGAACCTAGGCTTTAATTCACTAGTTGATTAAAGCATAGATTCGTGAATTTGGTGACATTGTAATTGTGAGTTCAATCCCTGAACTGGGCAGTGTATTCAGGGGAAAATAAGGGCGAGAAATAACTCTGCAGTAATAAAAATAAAAACTAGGCGATTTATCTCTAGACATGATTAGTTTATTCGTGTAGATTAAATAAAGGGCTCAGTTCGGGATTCCCTGTAAATTACCCGGGTCGATATACATCTGATGAAGACAATAGCCCAAATTTAAATCGTATAAATAACTCCTCGTCTCAAATTCAGACAGAAAGCTTAGTTCAGTAGATGTTACGCGGGTGGTGTAATGGTTGGAGGCTCTGAACGTGAAATTCAAATTCAAGTCGAGACTGTTTAGCGTAATACCTTTGGAAAATGTATGAATTCGTTTCTTTATGGGCTTAATAGCGGATTAGAGTGGGCTTTCTCACCGTGGCTGGTAGCCAGTATAGGAGGACAATTCTGCGTTAGTTCAGCATTATTTTGTTTGTTTCTGTCATGCAATATAAATCCTCCTATATATGGAAGCGTATGCTGGACAATCTCATCGTATGTGAAAAAACTGGAGGCAACAAATGTGGTTCGAAGAAGTATTAAGGAAAATATAAGCAAAAAGCCCACTTTCATTCAGAATAGATCGCTAAAATTTCTTGGAGACACAATGAGAAAGTAGGTGACACTCGCATGACATATCCAAGGTAAAAGAGACAATTGAAGACAGCTGGCCTGAGAGGCTTTGTAAAGGGACAAATGTTGACTAGGGCTACAAGAGATAGGTTGTGTAGAGCCATGATCACTCACGGCTTATAGATGTGGCTCTGCCGGGTTATATACTTGAACGGTTCGTTCAGCGTAGTTGCTGTATAAACCACAGGTTGACTGTGTTGAACAAACACAAATTAGCCTAAGCAGATGGGAATGCTGACGATGAGAAATCACAATAATTAGCAACGCTCATTCAGCTCTGAAGAGTATAGAAGGGCATCCAGTGGAAGAGTACTCTATTGTTGACCAATAGTTAGTAAACTCATCTGGTAGTCCTGGGTATGACGATAAACTACATCCAGCAGCAAGGCCTTTGATCAGGAGATTCGAGGTTCTAAGGAGCGTGGAAACATTTCTTAATTGCTGTTATTCCCAGGTCCACTCTGATTCCAGGTAGGTGAATAGTACCTGTTAGGGTCCAAGCGATGTGCAAATAGTGACCCCCCACAAACAAAACAATATACTATGAAAAGTATAAAAAACACATTTATATAGTAAAAATATCAGCAATACCAATGTATAGTAAAAAAAAAAATACAAGCAATACCTATTTATAGTAGAATTACCAACGATATATTTTATCTGTAGTTCAATGCATAAAATTGTTCAAAATATTTAGATTTCAGCATTAAATAACCCCTAGAGGTTGATATGCCACTAAACTAAATCAACCAACCACCAAACCTGTTCTCAGTCAGTCAGTTACGTGCCAAGCGTGATACACGCTTGCCTAAGATCATGTATCTTTCGATACATGACTGACGATGCAGATTTTTTTTTCCAGCAGTAGGTTGATATTTCTTTCTGCGGTAGACCAGTTGTCATCCAGTGCTATAGAACCCGGTCTGTCCTGCTATTTATCCATAGTCGGGGGAGAAGAGGATTCATATCTATCCCAAGTGTATTAGCACGTAAGTGAATGTAATGGATTCGATTGGAATTCGAACTCTGCTCTCCAATTCCTCAATC